TATTTATATATATATTTTTTAAACCTATATGTACCTATATTATATATTTTATTTTTTCTAGTTAATATTGTCATTAGTATTATAACTATTTTATTTTTGTAATTATTATTATGTTTTTATACGAGTTTATACGAGTTTATACGATTTGTTTGCGTGTTTAAAAAATGCTGCATTTAACATCATTATATTCTATTCTAAATAGTATATTATCATATTATTATTACTATACAAGTTGTGCAATACTTATTATTATTGTGATCTATGTAGATACTTATTGTGTCGACGTGTTATAATCATAAATTATATTATAACCGTCTTCGTATTTCGTATAAAATTTCGATTGAAGTTAGCTGCCACACTGAGCAGACAATGTTTACAATATATTTATATATTTTATACCTAAATACCTACGTATATATATATATATGTATCAATGTAAATATTTATGAAAAAATATTGGCTGCTTGGCAAACGGCAGTTGACTTCGAATATGATAAGAATAAGAAGACTATACCTAGTGGTTAGTTGTTAAATATATCTATGGATATAATGTTGCTACTTTATTGATTGATCACATGTGATTTAGATGTTTTCAAATATAAAAGACATTAAAACAACATATCATCATGGTAATTTTCTTTAAATATTAGGGTCATCTTTGAAAATTATTTCTCGACTCTCTTATAGTTACAACTATAAGTAGTGGATCATTGTTTTGTTCCTATAGTTCTCTTTTATAAAATAAGGTAACTTATTTCTTTATTCTTTGTTCCTTAAACAAAATAAGAAGTCGTTCCTTTGTCGTTATTTTAGAAAATAACAGTTCCTTTTTTAGCTTCAAACGGAAAAAAAAATAGGTGCAAATAATGGAAGGTGTCTTTACAGTTTACATTAAATTTCGTCCATAGTTACCATTATAATGTGTCACCACAAAGTTGAAATATATTTACAAATAATGCTCCCAAGTCTCAAGTCCTAACCCGTATAACAAATTATTTTATTGTTCAATGCTTATGCTATTTTTCGCTGAATCGACGAAATCGATTTCCATAATCTATATATTATATAAAAATGGAGACAAAAATGTATAACAATTCATCAATTGAGAAYGGCTGAACCGATTTCGCTCACTCTTTTTTTTGTTTGGGTCGTAATAAATTGCCAGGAGAAGAATCTTAGGTATGAAAAWTTTTAGAAAGTTATCGGGTTGAGAAATATGATGAGGGTGTGATTAAATTAAAGTGGCGCCATCTGCCTAGTAAAAAATAAAATAAATAATATTTATATGTTTTGGTTGTCAAAGGCAACCATTTAAACAAACAAGTGCTCTCGAGAGCAGCTGGACTTATTTTTAGGATGGACATTTTTGTTTACTTATAAATGGTTGCTTTAGTGACGGTTATTATTGTTCTGTGTTATTAGTGATGGTTATATATATATATATTTATCTGTTAGTCCTATATACATTCTTAAACAGCTGGACCGATTGCGACAAAATTTGGTATAGCATTTTATTAGACATATGGGCAGAAGATACGGTAGGTTAGAAAGTGTTATGCCTCAATATCATTGAATTGAATATTTAAATTGTCAACATTATATTGAAAAAACGAAGAAAATTACATAATGATATACGGAATTTAATATCGTTGTAAGATTATAATATATTTTAACCACTATCTATAATTATGTATAAAAATATACTGATAGCATCATCACATGAAATGAATTTAACACACAATATGAACCATAAAAGAGATAGAATTTTTAACGGGCTCCGCAGTGGCGGATTTAGCGTCAGGCAAAGTAGGCAGTTGCCTAGGGCGGCAAATTTTTAGGGGCGGCAATTTTAGGCCAATATTTTATTGAAAATATACTCTAGGTTTCTTTTTGATTTTCTTATGTACGGTGATTACTTTGAAGGATGGAAAATGAAAATGTTTAATATTTATATAACATAATATTCTTGTTAATATAATTTCTTCATTATTTTATAATACTTAACAATAAACGTCCAAGTAAATAATCGAACGACTGYCGGAACGTATATTATCTATTATTTAAATACTAACCATAGATTACATATTTCGCTATTTTGTTTTTTTACTAAGTCGTAATGGGGYGGCAAAAAAAAATTTGTCTAGGGGCGGCAATTGTGTAAATCCGTCTCTGGGGCTACGAWGTGCACGGGTTTATATTAATAAAGTGGCTATAAGTCTTAACAATTAATGCCAATACTCGATAAGTCGATAACTGTATAAATAAAAAATAAATATTCTTTTTCTTCGAAAAAATAAACTAGCTTCTTCTTTGTCATTTTTTTTTATGAAAATAAATAAATTCAAAGTTCCTTAAAATGGAATTTGCTCCTTCTGAAACTCGATTTTTCCAAACACTGAGGTTGTTAGAATAAAAAAATGATCCGTAATTACAGCTTCCAAGTTCCGAGTAATTATTGTTTTTACAAGGCAGTATGTATTCAACAATTCAAATTTTTGTTTAAATTTAACATTGGTGCCAAAATAGAATTGATATTTGTACTATGTTATAGATAACTTAAACTTGATAAGGAATAATATTATATTCATTTAAGAAAAAAAAATTACATTAAACATGTTCTGCATGGTCGTAAATTTATGTTTTAGAATTTCAGGTATTTTTAGTATTTTAGATTGTCACATTTACCTACATTTTAATGTTTAAATAAATTTATGTCAATTAAGTAATTATAACTTATTTTAAATATCTAAAAATTTTAAACTTAAWATGTTTATATTATACATAAATTTACCAACATATATGCCTATGATATCAAAAAGCACTTGACAGTAATAACAAATAAAAGTGCAAATATACTTATAGTTATAGCTATACAGATTTTCGTCTTCTGATTCATTATATAAATCATATGCATTGTAAAGCTATTAAAACACATGTCTTAACAGAAATACCTGAAACCCATTGTTTTCTAGATAACTACGTTTTTTGGGTTGCCACTTATAGTCTGCGTCACAAAAACTGACAGCTTAGGTTAAGAAAGTGAACCTAGTTGATAATTTGAGGGGATTAAAAAAAAATTAAGAAAAAACAGAAATTTTTCTGCTAAACCATTTTTTGGCAAAACCAATTTAATTTTTTGTTATAACTCAAAAACTAATACCTTAATAGATATTTGAAATACTCACAAAAAGTTTAAATAACGATTTTCCAAACATAATAAGACTTTCAAAATGTTGAATTTTTTTTTTTGAGATATCTACTTGCCAGCTATTTTTTAGGCTTGTATTACAGTAATTATATAACAAAGTCATTCTTGGGGGCGTACGTAAATTGCGCACGTAAGTTAAAAAGGCATAATATAAACTCCACCCAAATTGTTATTTATTTGTTAATATCCATGTTAAAAAAGTATAACTTAAGCTGTCTCCCGTTTGTAAAATATATAAAACTTTT